TGCAGGGTCGTGACACGCAGAAATAGAACATACGTGTATAGATGTGGAAGTGAAACTCCTGCAGTTGAAATACGAATATACATGCAGTGATACCTCAGTTAACAAGGATAATTTCCTTTCAAAATTACACTCCTTAGCTGAAACATTCATTAGCCGAAACGACCACATCCACAAAAACACTGGTAAGCCCAGTGCACATTTGAGAGCCAGAGAGCGATGACCTGGTTTGTGTTTAGACGACAGATCAACATCCTGGCACAAGGGTTGTAACCCATAAGTGCTCTTTTCTACTTCTAACTCAAGCCTGAAGAATCTCAGCTCAGTGCACGTACTCCGTAGCACCGACAGGGATCATGAAATACTTTGGGTAGATTTTTTAACTCTAAATTTTACCAGGGCAGTGCTGTGAGGCCACTCTTTTTCGATTTTCAGATGCCAAGAGATTTTTTTTTACGTTCGCAACAATACACACGCGCGTCCGATCTTACTACCTAGAGACCAGGGAAAAAATTACAAATCCCAGCCTTCACTGCGGCGTAAACCCGGGACCTCCAGCACTCGAAGCGGAAATGCCTCGAAACTATGCAGCCCGCCCCCCTTTTTCAGTGACCTAGCTAGTGGAAGCAAAGGGTGTCTGTCCGTGGTGGCATTTTGTGCTCTATTTTTATTAAGTTAGCTTAGTTTTTTTTTTCTTTTATCTAAGCTTTTTATTAAGTTAGCCCCCCCCCCCCCCCCCCCCCCCCAATAAACTAGGGTCTAGACCTTGTGTACGTTAAAAGTAATGAATGACGCCATTTTATGAGCTCCTGTCCTCCACATTTCTATGCCCCTAGGGGGGGGGGGGGGGTGGGGTAGAGAGAGTCAGTACTCGTGGATCTTTGAAATTTTTGCGCGTTGTTAAATAGTCACGAGCTGTCAAATAAACACACATTTCTTAAGGGTCAGTGACCTCACACTTTGTTTCTTATCGCTTTCGAATTGATAATCTCAAAGCATTGTAGGTAACGGGTTAGATTTTGAGCAAGTTCAGTAAGTGCCGCAGACATTTAGAGTTCTAAAATGCTTGCGATCTGCGTTTGTCGTTTCTCTTTTATCCACGCACATCTGGATTTTAAATGTCTGTAACTGTGCGGTTGCGCATACACACACACACGGGCTATCTTCCGAATAACGGTCGCAAATGATCGAGGCCGAAAATATACCCTAACAGGGCCTCAGTCACGTGTCAATTGCGGACTTCCGCCACGGCCGAGAGTATCTGCTACGGGCAGCGTGGATTGGGGCTAAACTGGATGGGACTCACGAGCAAGTAAAATAAAGGAAGCTGCAGGAGATGCGGTAGCTGCTGCTCGTGAGTCCCAGCCATCTAGTTTAGCCCCAATCCACGCAAGGCGTAGCGACGTGGGAGATACTCTCGGCGGTGGCCTTAGTTGCCGAAAGTTCGCAATTAACACGAGACTGAGGCCCTGTTAGGGTATATTTTCGGCCTCTATAATTTGGGACCGTTGTTCTGAAGATAACCCACACACGACAGTGTAATATAACATTTGCTTTGTAAATACATTTCATCGCCGTGGTGTAGTAGCTAGATGCTCGCCTGCATATCGGAGGGTCGTGGCTTCAGGTCTTGACGGAGCCGGCCGTTTTTCTAAAATGACCTTGGCTCTCCTGTCGATCCAGCCTTGAGTGGGTATCAGGTACAGTCCTGGGAAGTAAAAGCAGTCGGCGTGATGCTGACCACATCACCCACCAAGTGCCGATTGTCTAGCCCTAGCCTGATAGGCTTGAAACCGTGGGAAAATGTCCGTTACTATAATTGTATTTTATTTTTTTTTCTGTCTTTTTCTTTTCTCTACTGTCCTTCACTGTTATAATATTTTAATTTTTCTTTTTCTTCTCCTTTTCTCTACTCCTGGAATGATTCGCGTAGTTCAGGACAGGAAGAGATCTCTAGAACGGGCCCTTATGTGTCGGTGTCTGTGGCTTAGGCATTGCGAACGCGCTCCGTAATGCCGGGTTCGATCCCAGCTTCGGGCCTTGCACTGGTTTTGACAGTGGTATGGAGAAGCCGACCGTTGAGAAAGCAAAAGCAAACTACTGGATGTAAATGTGCCTAGAAAAACCTCAACAGCCAAAAAATGCTTGGGTTGGTTCTGCAACGTCCTGTCAAGGATGCGCAATTAACTATTATTCAGTGTGGTCGACCTCTGGCTCTGTTTTCGCAGTATGTGTATACCATTGCTCCCTGTAGTGCCCTGTCTGATGCCAATCTTATTACATGGCCAAACCATTTGATTTGTTGTCTACCTATAAAGTTCAGTATTGGTTTTGTGCCAACTCTGCCCTTGATATTATCGTTCCTAAGTCGATCTTTCCTCGTTACACCCAGCATAGTATGTAAACATTTTTATTTATGTCGCAAATATTTTCCTTCTGTCTTCTGAAGACCGTGTCCATGTTTAACATTGATAGCGTAGCGTTGGTAATAATATTTAGTGTTTCAACCAACTTATAGTTGGCCTTATCAGTGGGTTCCAAGCAAATCTTTCATTTCTAACCTGAAAAGTGGTGTTCTAATCCATAATGGCCATGTTCTCTTGACAGTGTACTGAAAGGAGCTGCATTAAAACATATCTTTTCTTTTCCTCCCTCTTTTCATTCCCCAGTTTCATGAGTTTTGGATTGTAATGTTTATTTATCTGACACAGGTCAAAACTGAAGCTACTGTGTGCCTGTTTTGCTCTCTCTCTCTCTCTCTCTCTCTCTCTCTCTCTCTCTCTCTCTCTCTCTCTCTCTCACACACACACACACACACACACAATTTGGCTTTGGAAGACGTGAAGAGTATGTAGTGTCAGTGTTAGTGTGGTTTTGTTTCTTCTTCTTCTTCGTTCACCGGCAGTGAATTCCGACGGAAGGTCCCGGTGAATCGTCCGTTTGAACTTTTGGCTTTTACCTGGACTTGAATTTTGCATGTACAACCGTTTTACTGGCTTTTGCCGTTCCCTGCCTCACGGGCAGATGTACTCCGACTTCGAGGGAAGACGTCAGGCCTATTTCTAGGATGACTTTGGCCATTGTTTTGTATGGGTCGAGGTGTTACCTTATTTGTGTGGTGTCCTCTTTGTCCCCTTTTCCACAGGTGTTGCCCCCAGAGTACCCCCTTTGGGGCAGCCCTGTGTGAAACGGTTAGCCCTCGAGGGAAGGCAGGGGCAGATTATGGGCATTCCCCGCCATCCAAGGAGGCTTCCATAAATGCAGAACCGACACTTGGCGCTCTGGTTCTGGGCTCACCCAAGGAATCTTCACGTCCTGCACATAACTGCTTAACCTCACAACCGTATTAGGCTTCCCGCTTGACACGGGATGCGCCCTCCAGAGATCAGCGGAGAGCAGCCCGTGGGTTCTGGACTTTTGTGACTTCACGAATAGGTACTATCTTTTTCATCGCACGATTATCATCTTTAGCGTAATGTTAGCAGGACCGAATGGAGAATCCTGCGTCAGACATGTCTTTCTCTGTATGGTACCAACATTCGGGCTAGTGGGGTCTCGGGATGTGGAGATTTGGACTTTTCCCCAATCAGTACGGTTTATGATGGTCGGATTTTGAGTTTGCTCGTGTGCCTTAGGATCAATTTATGTCGGACATTTGGGCATAACCAGCTGATGGATGGTTGCTGTCTTGGTGTACCTCAGTGAGAGTTGACAGAGGATGTACATGGGTAGAATCTTGCTGCAAGACGCCACCCACAGGAGATGTTACTCGTCAGTGCAGCGAGTAAATCTCTAGGTCAAGGGTTGAATCTCAGCAACACAATGTATTCTTCACCCCACAAACTTTTAACCGAGGGTTGTCATTTTAATTGTACGTTTGGCAAGCACTTTACTCATGTTCGTAATTAGTTTTGAAAAGCCTTTTCACCCATGCGTTTTGGGGGCGCGCTGATGGAAGCCACAAGGACACAACACCTCTGGGAGCCGCCAACTCCGAGATCCCCTGACATCTCTGTTAATGCTCATTTGAGACATTATCCGTGGCGCACGATGAGGACGTGCTGCAGGAGTCTTGTGTGAGGTTCCGTAAAACCAGAACAGTGCAAGACTGGCGCCCGACTGACGTACGGAGTAACTCCTTATACATATCACGTTGGAACTAACTTTACCTCACGACTGTGACAGAAATCACCGCGCAACGTGTGGTCTTGTTTGATTTCTGTATGTGCTGATGAAGGCTGCATAGCCGCAATGTTCACGTTTTGTTTGTGTTTGTAATATTGTGAAGCTTGCTGATCTACTTATTGTTCGGTTTTATATCTAGTAAAAATTTAACCTGAAGTACAAGGCATTTCCTGATAATCTTTGAAGGTTGAGACCAAATGGAAGTACTTCCCCCCCCCCCACTTCCCCTCCCACCCCAAGGAGCTCTTTTTACCGTGTGGCACATCAGTCATATCTTGTTAGACACATATTTTTTAAAGACCAATTGATACATAATGTGGTTCGCATCACACTGTCCGCCTTTACTTCCTAGAAATTTGCCTCGTACCCTTTTTAGGCCTAGGTAATTAATTTTTTTTCTAATATAATTTACTCAGTGCCGATTCAAATCCCAAGTCTGGGAGCTAGCAGGTAAAGCGTCTAGCCGTAATACTTTCGCAGCTCCCCCCCTGTGAGCTTAGATCGGTTATAAAAATATGTAAACTGTCAGGCCGACCATTTTCTAAAAGTCTGCACATCATTGTATGTGCTGTCTTTGAATGCAATTTAGTGTTCGCTGTGTCATGACTTTTATCTTATGACTTCATTTTAATTTTATCTGTTCTGGCCACTCCTGCAGCCTTTTTCTCATTTCCACAGTTCCTGATTTTCTTTTCTGTTTACTTTTAAGTGGCCTTGTTACTGGTAGCATAGAATATGGAATAGTATAATAAAGATTGACTTTGATTAAATTGAATATGCTTGGAGGAAATGTATGTTTTTAAAAATTTATTTTACAGGGTGAAAAGTACTGTTACCTCTTCCACTGTGATGGTCGGTGCATTTTCAAGGCACACAGCGACTATTTTGTCAGCACCATCAAGAGCCGGAAGACATCAGAACAGCCTGAGGAAGATCTTCAGAACCTCAATGCCCAAGGCACTGGCATTGAGAGCGATCAGACGAAACTGACACAGGGTGTTATGAAGAAGCCTCAGGATAAGCAAGAGATAACGCCAGCCCCTTCTGGACACACAACAGCAGGGGTTGCAGTCACAACTGAGACAGAAGCGCCAGAGCTTGTGATTACACCACATTCAGGTATGTAAGTTCATATCCAAGGGTTGGGTAAATGGTAAATTTCAGAGCAGTTTGTTAATAGTCTGTTTTAATTGCATGGTTTATGTGAGGGCTTTTCAATCTATTAAAAAAAGTGCATCAATAAAGAGTTTGAATGGGGAGATTATTAATGACAAGAGGCGGCAGCTAGATAGATGGGTGGAGCATTATCTTGGGGCTGGATTCAGTTGATACTACACTAACAGATGGTGCTCTTAATGCCATGAAGACGCTTCCAACTCTTGACTAAAACTACAAACCGTCATTATCTGGTATTTTCCAGAGGTCTTAGTCATATGTTACTATATGTAACAGACATTTTTGTAATTAATTAATTTATTACTACACAGAAAATATTGAATACAGTAGAAACAACTGCATATGAGACTTTTTACAGCAGAATGTCTGGGAGGAAGGCGAGAGGAAGATCAAGAAAGAGTTAGATAAATGTTATAGCTGAAACCTGCAAGAAGATAAACAAATCCATCACCCAAACCACCGGAGAAGCTCAAGCCAAATACAGAAAACCGTGACACTGGGCTACAACCTGGTAACAGTGAGACGACAGAAGAAGAAGCAGAAGTTAATTTATTCTTAATTGCATCCATCTATTTTTTTCACAGTGGGCCTTCTTGGATTTTGCACTCAGGACAGGCATTGTGAAGACCCAAATGCAGTATGTGGTCATGGCAACTGTGTATGCAGTAATTCTTATTATAATAAGGATGGAATTTGTCGTAAGTGGCGTTATACATTTTCATTTGTTTCTTTATTTTTGTGTGTTGTACATGCGGATGAGCGTGCATGATATCACTATTAACTTTTTTAATTTAATATGGGAAAATACTTAAAAGTTTATTTTTTAACCATACACCTAACTTCTTCTTGAAAGTAAAATATTACTGAAGAATTGTTAAAAATCTCTATGGAAAAAAGAAGCAGAATGCAGAATTTCTTCCTGACTAAAAAAAAATAAACAGTGTCATGTGCTTATGGGAATGTTCAAGTGCTGTGAGGTTGGTATTCAGCTTAACTCTTTTATTGCATTGACTCTTTCATACATTTGAATGTTATGTGCCTACCCTTGTTTATCACCAGGAAAAGTCTGCCTGAAATCAGAATTTGAATGCTTCGACCTGGGAACACTCAGCCGAGGTCCTGAATGTATCTCACAGTCTCAAGTGTGTGACTCCTACCTGCACTGTGCTGATGGTTCTGATGAATTTAACTGTCAAAACATTGGTAAGTTTTACCTGTCGCCTGTAAGAATTCAAGTTGCCGAAGTAGCGTGCAATTTTTCTGTCCAGCGGAGTTTACAGTTCTGAACTGTCAGGTTTCCCTATGTGACTTCTGGTGCCCCTTTTCATTGGTGATGGGGGCACAGACCCACTGCCCCCAAAAAGCATGTTGTAAAAGGCAATTAATTATGGATTTGCTGAAATCAGATGTGGTGGGTCGAAAGGCATCCAGATATTGCAGCCTAGCTGCAATTCACAACACAGTGTGCCAACCACCCTTTTAAGGATGAGCCCAGAAGAAGAAGATGAAAAACTGTCAGACTAGAGTTTGAATTCTTTACTGTTGGCAAAGTTTTCAGTTTTTAGCTGTCTGCTGACTGTTGAGTTATAAACTCATTAGCAGGCATTTTAATTTTTAACTTGTCAGCGTGGTTTTTCGGTTCTCAGTTTGTCAGTTCTCCAATCAGATTAGAGGCTTTTTATCTGTTAGACAAAAAGACAGCAAAGTATGTTTGTAGTAGTCAGTGTGTCTTTTTATTCCTAGGTATATTGCAAGTATACAGTTTGCCCAAGTTTTAAAACCATATATATGTATATGTATATATGTATATATATACATATATACGTATACATACATACATACAAACTACCTATACATATGGTATTCACAAAAATTGTGTTGTTTCTTCTAGAAAGTATTTTGAATCTGACCAACTTTATGGTTTTGGACTTTGAAAACATCTCTTACTTTCTGCAAAACATCTAATAGAAAAAGAGCAAATCAAGCATTTTATTAATTAGGATTGCCTAATAAAGTTTGATTTTAAAAAAGCAAACACACCTATATACACTGAATGATTATTTATAATTTAAAATGACTCATATAAATAATACTGCTGCCATGATGATGTAATTATTTACTTTTTCCTATATCATGCAGTCCATGTATTTCTTGTGTACTTGAAATGTGATTTTTTTTAGTTGTTTAATTCAAGAATACAAATTTCTTGCACGGTTATTTACTATAGGTTGTGTATGAAACACATTAGGAAAATGGTCTGTCCGAAATGGGGCTATCCTAATTTTATTTATGATTATTCTGATGTGGTTCTTTCTGTTGTTGTTGTTGAAAACATTGCTAGTTTCTGTAATGCCATTCTGATGGGTTTCTTGTTCAGATTTTTCGGTATCAGGTACATTTTGTTTCCCTTTGTGGATCAGGCTGTGGATCTTCCGATTGTATGAAAACCCTTTTTATGTTTTTGGCTTATTTGGTATATGGTGCTAAATCCATATTTGGATGCATACAATATTTCATAATCCTGTATCTGAACCAGCCCTTTTAAAATTTTGAATTCTCACCCCTGTCTTTTCCATTGTTTGTAAACTAGGTCTTCGGTCATGACTAAGATTGTTTTTGTGTGTGTTCAGCTAGATGGCATTCATACTGTCTTTGATATTGTTTATTGCTGATGTCTTTCCCTCTGTAGTTCCTAACAGTCAGCAGAACAACTGGGTCCAGCAGTCTGAACCAGCAGTGTCCAGTCTGAAAGGGGGCAGTGGTAACAAGAACAGTGACAACCAGCAACCAGCGGCTGGCGACCACCAGCGGAATGGAGCTCCCGTCCAAGTTAATTCCCAGGTTCCTTTACAGAACTACAGGGCCAAAAATGAGGAGATGGGCATGGATAAACAACAGCTCAACAAGCAACACTTACAGAATAATGATGTAAGATCCAAATCTACGCTTGCATCCCAGGAGGGTAGCATGATCTCAAACCAGAACCATTATTCTGGTAATGTCCAGCCCCAAGCCTTTAGTCCTAACCAGTATTCTAACAGAGGTTATGTAGATAGTGCTGCTGCTAATGCAAAGCTAACTGCTGATCATGATGCTAACACTAACATTAACCCTCCCAGAAAAGTGCTTACTAACCCTGAGTCACGGCTGACAGCACCCAGTCTTAACAATCCTGTTCCCAAACAGCAAGCCAATGGTCTGAGACAGGAAAGTGCTGGCAAGCTTCATAGAACGGGTGATTCAGATCAGAATGCAGCTCCTTCTCATGCCTTGCAAACTGGACCACAGCAAATGCCAGATATGATTGACGGTAGACAGGATAATTTACATCAAGTTATCCATGACTCACCACAGCAAATGCCAGATATGACTGATGGTGGACAGGATAATTTACATCAAGTTATCCATGACTCGCCACAGCAAATGCCAGATATGATTGACAATAGACAGAATAATTTACATCATGTCATTCATAACTCGCCCCAGCAAGCAGGATTTTCTGATGCTAGTCATGGCAATCTGTACTCGCCACAGCTTGCAAGTAGTTCCTCCATGAAAGGTCATCCAGTGCCTCAGACTCATTCAGCCGGTGATCATGAAAGTGAACTAAAACCAAACTCTAGACTCCATCCTGATCCGATCCCAAGTAATGCTGGCACATATTTACAAAACAGCCAGCCTGTTGATACAAATTTACAAAAACCAGCAGGTCCTTCTTCGTCATCATTGAAATCTTCAAGGCTAACAAATTCTCATTCTCAAAGTTCAGGAGGTGATTCTTCGCGCAAATCCAGACCCCAGATACAGGACACAAAAAAGCTGCATCCACCATCTTACGACCAAGCTCCTTCAAAGTCAAAGAATATGATGTCAATGCCGGGCTATCCTAATTCCCAGAAGTGGATGAATCCCAGTCTGTATACTTCATATAATCTCGGAGATTCCTCACAGCAAGAACAACCACAGTCACCAGTTGCAGGTCATTACTTCGACTCTTCTCAGTACTACCCACCATATTCCAGTGATTCTCTGGACTCAGTGCCTGAATCCTTATTAGAAAACGCAGGGTCCAATGATGAGTTTTCTCAGCTAGGTGGGTCTGATCTTGGTCGTGGCAGACCCCTTGGCCTGCCTTATGGTGGTCAAAACTTGGGCTATCAGGGATACCCAGAAGCATCTGATGGAGGTCAGTATGCTCAGTCAGGCAGGTACGACGACAGTGGAGATTACAGATCACCAGCGTATCAAGATGCTGACCTTTATTCACCGCTAGCCAATCAACGGGCTTATCAACCCAGTGCTGGTATATATGAGGGTAAAATATATTCTAGTGCCTTGGTGTGTCATGTAGATCAGTGTTAGTCGGTGTGCACATTTTTCTGGGCAGCTCCCACTTCGTGCTTCAGTTGAATTTCATCATAGATGTATGCTTGCATATTTAATTGTTGTTAGCCTGTCATCAGATGATAACTTGCTTCATTTTTATTTAAGTCTGCACCTGTTTAATAGCAGTTTATGATTTGTAGCTTATCCTTTATGTTACTATCTATGTGTGTTTGTTCTTTCTCCTCTTCTTCTTCTCCTTCTTCTCCTTTTTCTCTATTTCCTCCTCCCCATGTTTTTTCTTCTTCTACTTTTCTTTTCCTACTTCCCCTCCTCTTCTTCTACCCTCCTCCTCTTCTCCTCTTTCTCTGCTTCTCCTCTTCATCTTCTCCTTCTCTTCTCTTTTTTTTTCCCTCTTTTTTCTTTTCCTTCTCCTTGTGGCACAGCTGTCTTCTTCGCTGCATATATTGATGTCATACCCAGGTTCGCCTTTAAGTTTGCCACAAGAGTAGCCGATTTGAAGATCATAGACAAGGAAAAGGATGGTCGTGTCAATAGTGGTGGTGATGATGATAATGTCTCGCTTGCTGCATACTTCTCACGTGACTCTTGCTTATACAATAAAATGGCTGGTGACAACAATTCTAGTCTAAACTGTCTTTATTGTGGTACTACAACAATGCCAAAAACAATATCAATGATATTATTGAATAGCGCTGTGTTCCCCCTATGGTTACATACTTTTAGGTTCACGTTGTTTTCTTCATCTCTAATTACTATTCTAACTGGTTCTAGTGTCTCAACTGCCACCGGGCTCCTAGTGCGGGTTGGTCTAAAGAGTTTTCATTTTTCCTTTTAAATACAACAGGGAATCTCCGTGAAGTCTGGCCTTTGTAGAGTTTTATTTTATTGTGCTTCTGCCTCTCCTTCCTCTTCAGACCCAGACTCAGTGTCTACTCCCGAATCTGACTAGGCCCGTAGTGGGTTAAAATAAATGGCAAAGTGCACTCCTCGCAACCTGTGCACACGCTCTCTTCCATTTTCATATGTTAATACAATGGGCAAGTCATGTACAGGTCCACGCCTCCTGATGAAGATCTTCAGGGAGTACATTAGTTTCAGGTAATCAAAGAAAATGACTCTATTTATCTTCTTAACTATAATTTCTAATTAGCCTGCCCACTACTGCTACCAGTCAAGCCTGACTTCCTTTTCGTTCTGCTGGCCGGTGCTCCTCTCCTTTATGGGGTCCGGGCAGTCACTTATACAGGTGCTACTAGCCTGCTCCTAGAACTTTCCAGCCTCCTGTTTTGCTAGCCCTATTGCGTTTGTAATAAACAAGACTAGTAAAAGTATTTCAAAAATGGTGACAACATTTGCGGGGCTAGGAGGGAGAGTCAAGTGATGTCTAGACACTAGGCTAAAAGTTACGTGGGAACCAAGGACAAGGACCTATGTACTTTTAGCCGATCACTAAGCTTAGTGAAAAAGGTTCCAAAAACAAGGGTGAAGGATATGATAGGGTCTGTTGTTTTGACCGCCCCGTAATGAGACGCACTTTTGGTAGGGACTCTGCTACATCCTCCTTCTGTTTTTTTTTCTTTTTCTCCTCCTCTTCTCCTTTTTTTCTCCTCCTGTTCCTCTCCTCCTTCTCCCCCTCCTCCTATTCTTCTTCCTCTTCTTCTTTGTTATATTTTGTTATTTTCTTTGCAGAGTTTTTATATCAGCCCCAAAATTTGTTTTGATCTTTGTACGATTATTTATATGCTATGATTATTTATAGGCTTATGCATGAACCTTTTTTTCTGGTTTTGTGTTAATGTTACTGTAATGTACTCATATCTCACGTATCAGTTTCCATATCAATAATCGAACATATTGTCAGTGTTGTATTGAAAACATTAATTTAGAATTTCATAACTTTCATTTTATCATAATGTTTTCACTTCCCCTCTTTGGTGTTCACGTAATATGAAAATCATTTAATTTTTGATTGTGTGCAGTGGTACCTCAGAATTCAGACATAATCCAATCCGAGACAGTGTTCGGATTCCAGATCATTTGAGTTCTAAGGCATTTTTTTCTTTTTTAAAAATAATGGAAACTAAATGAATCTGTTTCAGGTTCCAGCAAACTCAGATTTCAAAATGTATTTTCCTAAATACAGAACACTGTAAATATAGCATAACCCATGATGATCATATTTAAATACAAATTTAAATAAAAAAAAAAAAGATATAAGGACATCGTATGTACTGTACCTTGATCAAAATGGTGGCATAGCACATAGAAGTAGGGGAAGGAAAGGGGCATTTGGGGGGATTATTGTTTGGCAGATAAAGCACCTTTCATGAAAACACCAGAATCCTTTCTGGTTTTTCATATTCTTGTCGTTCACCATCCTTAGAGCGTTTAAGGTCACTAGTTTTTTTTTTGGACCGCCAGTGTTCCAAAGTGCTCTAGTGTTTGGTGACCATGTTTAATTTTTAAATTGTGATTATGTTATCATTGAATAAGTCACACACCTGTTAACTAGGGCTGTATCAGGATGCCACGTTTCAACAACTTCTTGTGTTCACATGGTCAAAAGAACTTAGATTTCAGCAGTGCTTTGCCCTCTTTTTTCCCAGAAGAAATTTCTTCTGCAATCTCTTCTGCAATTTCTTCCTTATGCAGTTTATAAAGGTGCTGAGGATCTTGGGTTGTCAGCAAAGTCGCATGATCTTCACATATCAGGTGTACGGTTCCCAAGGCCGCGTTCAGTTTCAAGGCAAAGTTTACTTGAAAATTTTTATCAGATTCCAGCCAAGTTTGAGTTTTGAGGCTTTTTAATTTCAAGATACCATTGTACTTGCATGCATGTGTAAGGACTTCCACTCATGCATATTTTCCTCTATGTAACTCACTCACTCTCACTCAGATGTGCAGGTAAAAACACATACAAAATAATAAGATACAAAAAGACAAAGATGGCAAAATTAATGGGGGGAAAAGTCAGCTGTATGGTATTTTTTATGTCTCATTTCTTCCTGGTATTGTTCACCTCGGTCTCTATGTTTTTAACTCTTTCAGTTCCAGAACCAAAAGCACTTTTCAGTATTTTTTTTAATCAACATTGTGTTATCAGTGCCAAACAGCAAAAGACAAGAAAAGTTAAAACAAAACAGGAATGAAATAACTACAGTGAATCCTAAATGTAACTAGAAGAAACAGAAATGACGACATCAGGAAAGAAGTCGGGATGGAACCAGTATTAAACTACATCACTAGACAGCAGGTCTAAATGGTTTGGACATGTGTCAAGACAACCACCAGACAAGGGCACCACGGAAAGCCCTGTCTCTTCGACATAATGGAAGCAGAGCCAGAGGTTGACCGAGCAGACAATGGAAGATGGAATATCCGAAGCCTTAAATAACGGCATTTACGAAGCACATACCTAGGACGTTACCCAGTAGCTCTTCAAAATCTGCTGCTAAAAGGCTACAGCCACGTTCCTCCATTCACCCCAGTGTGTCATCTTTGGTACTCATTTCCTAGAGGCTGGGTGAAGCCCGGGAACCGTCCGGTTTCGAACACCGACCATGGCTGCAGCGAGTCGCAGCTGGATTTGAAAGTGAGCCTCCTATCGACTGCACTAACATGGCTCCCTGGTGCACCTGAGTAGTATCCAGTACACATGGGGCATTGTTTGGGACATTGGTTCCCTCCAATGTGGGTCCAATGAAGAGAGCTTCTAGTTATCAGCCTTATGTCTAGTCATTATTATTGCTGAATAGTAGCAATGGTAGTTAGATTATGTTTTCCACTTAGAACAATAATGAAAATATCCACAAAATTATTATTCACTGGTGAACTCAATGTGCATTGCAGACTTTCCAACTCAGATAAGACCGCTGAAGTCAAGTAATGTGCATACAAATTCAGGTAAATATTTGTAGAAACAGCATGTTCACAGTGTATACTAAATTGTCAGTACCATTGTGTTGTATTGTCGATGGGAAAATTCCACTGCTCTGGGAATACTCAATGGCACTGGAAAGGATTCAGGTATATGTAAAGTAAATAAAAGGCCCTTTTTTAAACGCAAGATGCTAGACTGCCCAGAAAAATACCTGGTACCCATACTAGACTGCCCAGAAAATTACCTGGTACCCATGGTAGACTGCCCAGAAAATTACCTGGTACCCATGGTAGACTGCCCAGAAAATTACCTGGTACCCATGGTAGACTGCCCAGAAAATTACCTGGTATACATGGTAGACTGCCCAGAATATTACCTCGTACCCATGCTAGACTGCCCAGAAAATTACCTGGTACCCATGCTAGACTGCCCAGAAAATTACCTGGTACCCATGGTAGACTGCCCACAAAATTACCTGGTATACATGGTAGACTGCCCAGAAAATTACCTGGTACCCATGCTAGACTGCCCAGAAAATTACCAGGTACCCATGCTAGACTGACCAGAAAAATACCCGGTACCTATGCTACACTGCCCAGAAAAATTACCTGGTATTTATGCTAGACTGGGTCAGCCTACAAGGCAAAGTCAGTTTTGAAAGAATATTGCGTTGATGTGGGTATCTTCTTTACATTCTTCTTCTTCTTCTTTTGTCATCTCACTGTTACCAGGTTGTAGCCCAGTGTAGTGTATACTCAGGCAGAACGTTCTGGTTGTTCGGCCACTTCTGGACTTGCCTTCTTCCAGAATTTTAGTTTTGTTTTTTTTAAAGGGCACATCCGTTTTACATATATGGCAAATTTGTGTGCAGACTGTTGGTTTGAATGCTGCTCTTTTTTGGTTCAGGTCGGAAGTGGGGCAGCCATCTTTCAGCTGTTAGTATGACATATCCCCATGTTTGTCTGCACTATCATATCATGTGCTTCACACTCTTGACATCCCTAACAGCAATATTGACACTGGCATGGGTACTATAATTTCCTTTATACTTTTGAAGTTTTGATTTAAAGCCCCCTCGTATTAACTACATCGTTCATCAAGTGTCCTTTGATAAAAAAAGAATGCACAGCATCAAGTAGAGCATAGTAATGCTGTAACCTGCTGTGTAGAGGATCTAGCTGCTGGCTGATTTTGTTCCATTCTGTCCAGATGACCAAATCATTTGGTTCTTTGATGTTCTGTGAAGTGATGTACATTTCTTGTGTTTATTACATACAGGTTCCCAGCAGCCACTGAATGGACACAAAAAAAGTGCTGCAGCAGTGGTTGCTCATGAAGAAAGTACACAGGGTGAGTTATTAGAAACTAATGTTCCTTGTCAGTTTTTTTTTTCTTCCCAGTATTATTATTTACCTATTTGGCTTTACTCCGAATGACGGTCCCAAATTATCGAGGCCAAAAATATACCCTAACAGGGCCTCAGTCACATGTAAATTGCAGACCTCTTTGCGGCGACTACACAGCATACAGTAGAAAAAACTTCCTCAGAGTTAAAGTCTCCGCCGAGAGTTTTCCCCACGCCGCTACATGCAGCGCAGAGCTAAACTAAATGGCAGGGACTCACGAGCAGCAGCTGCCGCATCTCCTGCAGCCTCCTCCATTTTATTTGCTGGTGTCCCCGCTATCTAGGTTAGCCCCGATCTGCGCCGTCGCGCGTAGCGGCACGGGGCATACTCTCGGCAATGGCGGTATAGAATTTACCTGTGACTGAGGCCCTGTTAGGGTATATTTTCGGCCTATATAATTTGGGACCGTTATTCTGAGGATAACCACCTATTCTCCACTATCCTTTGGGAGAGCTGCATGTCATAGTAAGGGATTGAACGACTTGGCCTGAGTTGGATGAGAACCTGTGCTCCTTTGGGGGGGCTAGAAAGACAGAAGAAGAAGATGATTCTCCATTAAAGTATAATTGGGGTGATTAATATTGTCTGTAACAAAGCCTGAGGGGGGGGGGGGGGGGGGTGTTTGCACGCTGCTGCTGCTAAAATCTGTAAAGAACCCAGTTTGAATTGCTTGCTAATGAAAGTAAAAAATGCAACAACTTACAACATTGCAGACCACTTAAGGCAATCTCAGACTCTCTAACGTGTGTGTCATAAAAGGTGATTAATTAGGAATTTTTCACCCGAAGTCGGAGCATATCTGCCTGAGCGTTGAGGAACCAACATTCTGCATACCATTAAGCCAGATCTGTAAAATGGATCTACGTGCAAAATTTAAGTTTTGAAACATGTCTGAAGACCAGAAGTGGACGAACAACTAGAACTTTCCACCGGAGTTTACAGCTGACAAACGCTAAAAAGAAGAAGAATCCATTGTGCTGTTTTGAAAAAAATGATCTTCAGCACACTCTTTCACCTTGACAGTACCTTCTCTCAAACTGTTGTTTGTCCATCTCTTCATCTTTCCCTTTTAATACTGTTTACTTATTGCCTTTCTGTCTGCAGCTTTTCTTTCTAATATACTTTTATTTCATTCGCTTTATTCATTTCTTTTAATGTAGCAAAGATGTGCTTTTATAAATTGAGTGGCTGAGTGGCAAGGAATATTTATTTGAAAACAAGGCTATAACACCATCCTTTTTTGTCTGTTAGCTGCCAAGCCCACACCACATCCCACCATCCCCGCTGCAGCAGCGACATCAGGTAACGCCAAGGCGAGTACACCCACCACAAAAAGTCCACCGCCGCACAAGTCAGCACCGGAAGCGCGGCCTGAGAAGAAGCACATCTTCATGTCCAGCGAGAAGGTTATCATAGCCAACGCAAGTGATGCCGAGGGACCAATCATCGCCCTGTCTCTGGGGCTAGCCTTCACTGTCATTCTCCTGGTGTTGGTGGGCTGCAGGTTGAGGAACGTACGTCATCGCTTGAGAAAAGGTCGACCACTCCACCAGAATGAGGCTGATTATTTAATTAATGGCATGTATTTGTAGTTTGGCTGTTTCTATGCTTGCCATTTAGCTAAAAAAAAATTTTTATTCATAAAATAGTTAACGCATCAAAGATGAGAAGCCAGCTTGTTGAGAGGGCAACTTGTTACCAAAATCTGTATTTTGTTTTGTCCTCTCGGTGATTTAAATTAGTCTTTTCATAATAAACAGATGTCTAAATGAGAAGTAGGACTAGTCAGCTTTCCATAAATACAATCACAAATGATAAACTTTTGTGTTGAAAAAGCCTTTGTCTGCATACAGCATAAACAAATTTTTATCAGCATACAGCATTAACGAACAATGATACAAGTACATAAAATAAATCACATTATGATGCAGCCTGTCTCCATCTCCATCAGTGCTTCAGCAACATCAGCAACAAATTCTCACTAATCATCAAGGATACAGATAAATACCTTTTTAAATAAATCATTGTATATTATCAGAATACTTTTAAAAACTATTGGGAATAACCAGTAATTGCATTTGAACTGTATATGGAAAAGACTCAAAGAGAAAGAACAACTCTGTAGTGACAATGGGAGTACTGTCACATCCTTAAGGAGTTAATTTATATGTATTTATTTGCTGCTAATTTACAGAAAAGAATACCTGTTCATTGCGTATGAGGTCTTGTAACCATAAAAGTATGTGAAATATACAGTATGTTTGTATTGAGATTTGTGCAAAGATTTTATGTCAGTCTTGCATACTTATGGACAGTACTTTACCACTAATGTCACAACTGTGACACAAATTTTACTAGGAACCTGCTGTACTGATCCTTTGGAATCTGAAGGATAGAGATTTGTTATAATGCTTGTCTCACACTTGTCTCTCGCTGTAATATTGAAAGCTTCACATATTCAAAAGTCTGCGGTGTATTGTTGTTGTGAAATAGGTTGTGATATCACACCAACCTATATACCATTTCAGCATCTAACAAGCATTTAGGGGTTATGATTATTTGAGCTCATTCCTTGCTGGGTCTAGTACTAGCTAAGTCTCTGAAAAACCAATAACTGCTCAACAAAACTGTAAAAAATCACTCAAGGTATGATTTACTTGTGCCATCAGTCTGGTCTAATATGGATGGACGAATATATGACGACAATAAATTGGTGATTTAAGATGAACATTTAGTCTCTTGGTCACTCTCATTTAAATAATGGATCACTGACTCAACAAATATCGTCACAAAGTCTGAACAGTTGCCTGTGAATCACTTGGAGACTGTAACCCACATGCTTCGCACCTGAAACAAGTACAATTCAAGTATCTTCTGCTAGCACACTTCAAACACACAGAGTCTGAATGGTTCTCCCAGTCTCCACAACTGAACAGAACACAAAGCTCCATTGCACTCTTTGTCCTGATGGCTGCTATAGGCAGCTCTTGCCCAGTTTTCCAGAATCCATCTTTCACTGATGGCCATGACCATCCTCTGGCAACTCTGTATCGAAAAGACCCAGCCATCTGCGGACTTAAGGTAGTCACACCAAATTGATGAATATCCCCATTACCACCTCACACTGGTTTCAACACACAGTTACCGCAAGTCAACCATCATGACATATAGATATACTAAACCACACACTGGCCAACACTTACTCCATCCTCTGACGAAAATCTACACTAAAATCATCCAGAACTCCATTTTCTAATACACCAAATTCAACTAGACATTCCAACAGAATTAAACACATGATTTAAACTCACACAACACGAACAAGCATATGAAATCTTTCACTGATTGCAAGCTACTAAATATGACTACCACTGGATTCATCCATCAGCAGTCACTCTCACATGGGTCTGGCCATATCCGTGGAATCCATAAATCTCACACAACATCACTTCCACACTCTTTCAGTGGCCCAAGTATCCACACTCACTTCTCACTTAGGTCACTCATGAGTACTTTCACACCCTCGAACCTCTGATATAAATAAACAGTTAGCAGATATAAATGCACAGTTAGCACAAAACATTTATACAGAACATACAGATTGAATAGGTTGGCAGTAGACATAAATATTTGACATTTATAGGTCATCTTGTGGTTAAATATTTTCTCATGATTCTAGGTTAGCTACAGAATCATATGTTTTATGTTTTACATTAGTTCAATAAAAAGGTAGTTGTATATTATTTACAATATGTTGCTGAACAAACGTTTGTGGCTTCTCAATGGTCAGCTCTCGATACCACTGTCAAAACAAGTGCTAGAAATCTGTCTTGCTGCCAAATTCCCTCCAGCTGGGATCGAATTTGGAACTTTAGAATTATAAAGCACGTCTGCAATGCCTAAGCCACATTTCTATATTAGTTACAGAATCTAATATTTCATGTTTTTAAATAAGACGTGGAGTCAATTATTAGATGATTCTAGAAATGCTGTAAGCTTGAAGGCTTGCTGATTACAGATAAGCTTAGCTAAGCATTTATCAATGCATTAAATGTCATGCCGAATGTGTCAGTGTTAGAAACATCTTGCTGTGATTTTTATACTTGGGAACAGCAAACTGAAGTTAAAATGTTTGTTTGTTCATTTTCTTCCCTCCTAATATATATATATTAATTTCTCTGTGCTTTTAGATGTCTTCATGCTTTAACATTTAACTCATTCAGTCCCAGTTAGTTGTTACTTCAACAGTGTCTGTTTCAAAGTTGACATAAATTAGAATGACAACCGTTGAGCCCTAACATGTTTAACTAATACAACTATGGAACACAAGGAGATAAGGTAGCGGACAGAATAGAATGTATTATCTTTACATAAGATCTGCTGAAAGTAAGTTGAGAAATGTATGTTATGTATTTAGTCTTCTGAAAGCATGTGATACATTTCCTGGAACTGAAAGAGTTAAGCTTGTGTCGCATGGGGGATAGTTTGCTTTGTCATTTAGTGTTGTTTTGTTTGTAGTTGTACTAGATATAAAGACAAACAAATGTACAGTTTGTTTTTTAAAATTGTGATTGTTTCTTATGGAGTTTGATACAGTCATGTTTGTGAAATTGTTTTGTTTGTGCTCATTACATTGCCATGCCCGGACTCCCTGTTTTATAACCACAGTTGTTTTTTTTTCAGCATTCATCCTTGAGAAACAGTTAGTATGCTGTGTTGTGGTTTACATCTGGGCTGCTATATCTGTGTCTTTAGGTCCAACACATCCAATTTCAGCAGACCCCCAAAATAGTTGCCTTTTACAGATAGGGATGGATTCCGTCCTCTCCCCAGCCACCAAGTTCAGCACATTTCCTGTCCTAGAGAGGCTCCCAATTAGTCGACTCTTATGTCATGATTTTGAGCAGGCAGTGGGTCTGTCTTAATAGTGCTCTTGACAGAGCTCATCAACGAACATTACATCTCTCCCCAGCACTTTGACAAGGTATAAGGTGGAAGAGAAGAAGACGAAAGAAGAAGTGGGTCTGTTCTCGTTTTCCCCACACCTGGCCCCGGAACCCACACAGGGAACTGCTGTAAGTGAAGTAATAGTAGTGGCTGTTGATCAGCTTGAGCCAGTTGTACAACTGTAGGGTCGTGCATAAGTGTTGCTATAATTTGTCAATTTTTGAATACCATTTGTTATATATTATTTGACAGCATCTTCCATTTCTCTCTGTTCTCCCCCACCCCATATAGCGAGTTAGTTACAGGGAAGACTAGTAAAGACAGAATTCACCTATTGGAATGGTTTTTTTTAAATGTTTTTTTTTTCAAATGTATGCCTGTATAATTTTTAAAAGACTACTTAAAAATAATAATAATGCAGACAGAAACAATACATTGCACAATTTATTACCTGGCATATTTCGATGTAGCTGTATTCAGACATTTGCTAAAAGTGATCTAAGTTGTGCCAGTAAAACTCTACTATCCTATGTTATGTAAACAAAAAGATCATGTGATCAATTTGAAGTTAGCATTGTAATCACTTGAGTGATTTTGAATTTCCAGCGGATAAATGTACAACAACTTGACAATGTGGTTTATGCATTTCAGCAAAAACAGGATTCGTTTTGTGCATCGTTATATGTTGATTTAAATCTGTAGTTATACACCTGACGAGATACAGCCAAATATGCCAGATAATAAATTGTGCAGTGTATTGTTTGTGTCCGCTTTATTGAAATTTACAGTGCAAAAACCTTATTTTAAAGTACTTAAAAATACTTGTATATTTTGTTTGTTTTTTTGTGTCTTTTACTTAAAAGTAAAAAAGAAGTCCAGCATTGAATACCCACTGCTCCGTAGTATAAAAAGGATTGTTTACTTACTTTCTACATTACTTAAAAAATGTACCTGCATAAATTTTTTTTAGAATTGCTTCTTCAGAATTGAAGAATGGTAGCATGGTGGCTAGACTCTTATCTCACAGCTTAAAGGTCTTTGGTTCAAATCCACAACAGGGTAGGCTGTTATAATTGACCTAGGTCTGCCAGGTAGACTTGGCCTAAAATGGATTCTAGGCCATGTCTTGGGAAATGAAGGTGTCAGTGTGATGTTAGTGTTAGCTACATCAGTGTTCTTCAGCCTGTAGACCGGGGCCCCACTTGCGGGAGCATGGAAAACACCCTGTAAGCCACTGAAAAATTCTGCTTAATCATGTAGTGAGGTAGGGTAGATGGCTTTTCTCTTCCAGTTAACATCTTTCCTGTTTGTGTGAAAAGACTTTCTCTGGCATATCAGTAAAGAGAAATCTAATAGATGTTACTGTAGATTTTTGTTTACCTCCAAGCAGGAATATATGTGGCATTTGCTGAAGATTGTAATTCTGTTAACGTCACATTCTACAAATGAACTGCTGTCTACATTTGTTTGTGTTTTTGGTTAGCTGTCAGGTGGGTCCCGAAACAGTTTCCACTGTTTTGGTGGGCCTTCATGTGGAAAAAAAACTTGAGGAACACTGAACTGTGTCACCCAGCAAGTACCCATTGCTCTATAAAACTATAGGCTCGATACAATATGCTTGTGTGCCGGTGATGTGAAACTCATC